TGACACAGCTGTACTGACTCATAACAATCTCAGCATTGTATCTGAGGCTTAGAAACGTTATTTTGTTATCTGCTGTAACATCTTTCCAAGTACTAATGGTAGACTCACTCTTCAATAATTACTGGGATCTTCTTCTTTTTCTTTCTTAAAAATGGGGATCACATTTGCTCTTTTCCACTTCTCTGGCATTTTCCCAGTCCTTTAGGATTCCTCAAAGATAATTGACAGAGGTCCCAATAGCTCTTCAACCAGTTCGTTCAGTGTTTTAGGGTATATTACATCAGAGCTTGAGGACTTGAAGGCATTCATATTAGCTAGAATATTTAGCGCATCCTTATCAAACAGCACCCTCCATCATTGTATTCATTTCAGGCTAAACTCACTATTGCTTTTGGATAGGGGCTAATTAGAGTTGAGTTCCTCTGCTTTCTCTTCTTTCTTATTTGTTACGATTTCCCCTATTTGCAGTAAGCAGTAAGTTCACCACCTCTTTTGTCTTCCTCTTGTTGAAAAAATCCTCCTTACTGAGTTTTGCCTCTCTTGCTAGCCTTAGTTCATTTTACACCCTTGCCTTCCTGACTTTATTCGTACATTTCTGAGCTGAAGTCTGTGTAGAAAGAATACACTTCAGCCCACTTTGATATAGGGAAGCAAGAGCTGTGTTTATTAGGGAAAACAGAATAAGTTGAATGCTTTAGGAATGAGTGTAGCAAAACAAATAGAGATAGAGCCAAAAATGAATGGGTGATAAATAAATTTAGACTGAATATTCAGCAGTTGACCAATATGAAAATAGTACATTGAAGCGATTTGGTCATATAGAGAAAATTAACAAGTTTGAATTGCCAAACAAATGAATGGAAATCGAGTGAGCTGAGAGAAAGAACACTAAGAATACTGAGGTTAGATGTATTTGATGGGATCCTCAAAGAGAAATAAGTTTAAAGAACAAAGAGCAATGTACAAATCAGACTAGAAACATGGTGGAGCAAGGATGGTTTGCAAAAGCAGAAAGGTATGAAAAGATATAATGAATTGTTTTGACATAAACTGGATTACAGCCAGTTTGGTGTAGTGGTTAAGGCATTGGGCTAGAAACCAGGAGACCATGAGTTCTAGTCCCATCTTTGACATGAAGGTGACTTGGGCCAGCCAGTCTCTCTCAGCCCTAGGAAGGAGGCAATGGCAAAGCACTTCTGAAAACTTGCCAAGAAAACTGCAAGGACTTGTCCAGGCAGTCACCAGGAGCCAATGCTGACTCAAAGGCACCCCCCCCCAAAAAAAGGCTTTAGTAACTTCACATACTAAAGGACATTTACATATCTCATGGGTCACTGCAAATAAGCCCAAAATGAGACCAAGAAAAGGTTGGATAGAGCTTCCCCTTTCCAAAGTACAACTCTCTGCATCACTAGAGTTCTGCTTCTTAACAATGGGACAAGAGTCCACCTGGCTGTAATCTTCTATGAGATCTAATGCTATCACTTGCCCTATGAAAATGTTCTCAAAAAGGCTGTTTGTTGTGAGGGTGATGGCTGTGTTCCACCAAATGCTTGTACATTGTGTTTTCCATATCTGTAGCCAGTTTCACTGATGAACTTACCTAGTTGGGTAATGTAACATTTGCAAGCAAACAACCAAGCTCAGAGAGCACCAAGAACTCCATATTGTGTTTTGTGTAACTACATGCATTGACAATGTTTTTTGTAGTCACAGGAGGATGGATGTGACAGGGGTGACTGTTTGAGTGCTGTGAAGGCAATGTCAACTGTTAGCAGCCACCAAGAGGAACTTTCTCTAAGACAATCTGTTTTCAGCCTGATTTTCTAGGTCTCTCAGTGATGTATTTACTCCCATTGTTGTGTGAGCGGGAAATTCCTTCTCCCAGTTTCTGGAGGCTCAGGAGCAAGCCCCATGTGTATTGTTAAATAAAGTAAACCCTTCTTTTATTTATTGTTCAACTTTTTCTTTCATATTCAGAAGGCGGAGGCAGCCAGGGGTGTCTTGCATTGTCTATTTAAATCTTACCTACAGCATCACAGAGATACATGGACCTCTCATTGTTGCTCTTTAAGATTCATTTAATTAAAAGTTAAAGGGAAATTGGCATACTACAAAGCCAAGCCTATAGCTTACCACCATCTTTATTTGCAAGAATGCTCTAGGCATAACATAGGCATTTTTTAAAAAATTAACACATGGGGGACTCCCTGCAGCCCAATGTGTTGCTTGGACTTTTGCTCATCTGCCCAGAAAAAAGAAAGTAAGTTAGGAAGATCGAGAGTATCTGAAATGGTTAGAAGAAACACAGGGAGCAACCTGGCAAATCTGCCTTCCAGTAAGTGGGTGCTTATTTATTACATTTGTATGCATAGATCCTCAAACACAAGTCCCCAATGGACACCAGTCAGCCCCAAATAGCTGACTAGCAGGGTGACCTGGAGGAGGTGACAGAGGGGGAACAAGTGCTGGCAGATGATGCATTAAATCACTAAATCTCAGGAGGAGCCAGGACAACTTACAGGGATGTGAGTCAGGGAGGTGGGAAATTGTGAAGGATATTAAGACAGGTTGTGACATTTCAGGCCAAAGAAAATAGGAAATTATAAGCCCATAGCTTCTCCTAACTCTAGCAATGGAGGCTAATATGTGTAGCTCAGGGTTGAACTGTGGAGTCCTTGGGGTTCTCTGAGCTTGGTTCTTTTCTTGCAAACGTTTCATTACCCACGATGTTACCTAGCCGGGTAATGAATCGTTTGCAAGAAAAGAACCAAGCTCAGAGAACCCCAAGGACTCCACTCTCCTAACTCTGCCTTGTCCCATGGGCCTGATTACCAGATTATTCAAGTCCTGACCACAAATTGTTACTCTCCTTTGTAAAATGCACTCATAGTTATGACCACAACCTGAAACTCCAACACCCAAATAAAGTACAAGTATTCTCCCATGCAGCAACCAAAACCAAAAACAACAGCACAAACATCTACCAACACACAAACTAAAGCCACACAGAGAAAACACGCCCTTACTCAAACTTAACAATAACTTGCCCCTCGCCTTCTAAAACCTTTCCCAAAAACTCCCTTCCTCCTCATATTCTGGTAAGAAACGTACATTTCCCTCGGATATCTGTTCGCAGGTCAAGCGACTATGTTAGAAAACATGGTGGTTCACGGCCAAGAAAATATGCATTCCATTTCTAAGCAGAAAGACTGAAGAAATATGAGAGTTCTATCTTTGCAAAGCTTCCAAAACTGAAACTATCGCTCTGCAACCTTACCCTGGACTTACTTTGTGTTCATTCGCGGTGCATCATGGGATATGCAGATTAACTTTCGTGACGCGATATTTGCCTCTTCCTCCCGCTCGTTTACCCGGAACTAAATTGTGCCGCATTTGGAAAACTTTTCAAAATAAATCTTATTGCTACCGGCGCGATTTTGGTCTCTCCAAAAAATATTTTCTCCGGAGACTTAAAACAATTATTACTCTTGTTAATGTAGACGCCTTTTCGGTGCAGATTTTCATAGAAATGAGCTCATGGATATGATTTATTAAGTAAACTGTGGGCACGAAGACGTTAGCATTAGTTCATATGTCAGGAGGAGCCAGGTAGCCCCCTTTCCGCCTAACAACATCTATTAAAAAGCATAAGCTTTCGCGAGCTTCAGCTCACTTCATCAGATGCATGAGATGGCTCAACTGTTGTAGGATTTAAGTTGGAATGAGATGGGGCGGGAAAGGAGAGGAAGACAAGCTGGTTATGCGGATGCAGAGCTCATGTGAAACGTGTTAAAAAGCCGTTGTGTTTGCACTGTAAGCACCGCAGAGTTCGAGGATAATGTGCTATTCATGTGGAAATCTTTTGCACAACTGGAATCATTGTAAGTACATACTTACATGAAGAGGCAGATCAGTGTACTAAATTCAAATGCCAATATTTTGTTTTAAAGTGACTAAAGATCAAGTAAAAAGGAAGCTAATAATGAAATCTGCTGTTATAAGCCTAAGAACTTCTTAAATCTTTCCAACTGATCAACCACACACTTTGTTATCCAATACTATATAGGATGTTGCAGGGAAGTACCTACAGTACATAGTCAGTGATTCACTGCATATGGAAAATCTGTTTCCTTGCAAGGGTTAAATTCTGGACATTTCTAAAGAGCAAGCTAAAAACCGTATTTTTCATGGTCCAAGCTTACTGCTTAATTTGCTGAAGTAAAATGTAGTAAGACACAAAGGGCATAAGTCTCAAAGCACTATCATCTCCATTGAAGTGTATGTTTTGTGTTTGTGTTGTCTCAGAAGCAAATGCCCATTTTCAACATCCATCAGCAGGCCACCTGCAGCTTCAGTACAACACTGAATTATGTGTTTTGCTGGGCTAATGACATTTAACTTTTGGTGCTACTTGGGTTTATTGAGCAAAAGGAGAACAAAGCTTTCTTACCTCCAAAATAATTCAGTTCTGTATATGTCTTGCTGCTTTCAGCAGGTTTAGGGATTAGGCTGAATAGGATTGTAGTGTTTATTAACCAAGAAGAACACTTAAAGTACAGCAGTTTCATTTCCTCATCCTGAAATGGTGGGCATACTTAGGATGCATTTGATACAACATAGATTGCAAAATAATTCTCATATCTGAACAGGAGGAGGATTTTTCCAAAATATTTTCCTTGCATGTTGAGCTAAAAAGACCAGCCTAGCCTCACACTTCATCCCCCTCCTCCCTCGAATTTCTACAGTTGCAACGGGAATGGTCGCAGCTGTTCGCCTTTAAGGTGGGGCTGCCATGTTATTGGAGTGAGGAAAGCTTACTTTTTATTAAAAAGATTTAGGTTTCGCACGGTAAAAGCGGGGAAAGAGTAAGGCTAAACCTCACAGGATACCCAACTGCACTCACTGGAAAGCGAGGATGGCCCGCGCCAAAAGGACAAGGCGGTTTGGGAAGCGGTGCGTTCGCCTGTAGGCGGCAACCTTCCCTCCGCAGCCGGAGAGGAAAGCAGAGGAAGTGTCGCCGCAGAGGGGCCTTAACAAGGCCGCGATGGCTGACGGAGGGAAGCGGGAGAGGCCGAATGAGGCTCGCCGCTGCAGCCGCGCCCGATATTTTTGCACCGCGGGACGCGGGATGGAGTCCTTCCTCGTCAAAGAGGTACAGGCCCGCTTAGGCGCCACTCAGGTGAGCGGCTCCGCACTTCTTAGGCCGCGCCGGGCTCGGTCGATAAAAAAATGGCAGTGAGAGCTCACTTTCCTCGCCATAAAAACTAGACGGGGAGAACCGCCTTTTTATTTAAACGGAGGATAACGGTCTCAGACTGAGGTGAAGACTGGACCAATTGCTTGTCTGTATGATCGTTATTTAGGAAGGCCAGTTCCCGCGGTTAGCCGTGTCCACGTTTATTCAAAAGTTCCACCGCGCGGTTTTGGCCTCGCAATGTAATTCTGTATACGCTTCTCTCGACGCAATTATGTTTGAGCTAATTTGCACCTCCCGTCGGCCTGTATTACATCTTAGTATAGTTCCGTCCAGTCTGGCCTTAGAAAGTCAGTTCTTCATTGTACGTGACATTCAAGCCGTGTTTACGATCACTTTGAGTCACTGGTCCACATGGTCAAAATCTGGGTGCTAAATCATGAGTTCTTGAGCTTTTAATAATTAAAGGGCAGGTGTCAGAGAAGGGAACTTACATATTCCTTTGTACAGATAACCTGGAATACCTGTGTATATTGTAGCTATTTAAAGGGCAAGTGTTCTTTGCTGGAATAAATAACATTAAGACAAAGTTATCTCTAGTATTTGTGTTGGTAAATTGGAAGTTCTTGATTATTTCAGTGGGAGCCATTGTTGCTTGCAGGGATGAGGATTCTTCTCTTGCCTGTGTAACAATGTACATCTTTGCAATGATTATAAATGCTGAACTTTTTTTGCCTGCACCCAAGAGATAATTTCATCTTCATAATGTAAAATCTAGCAATCACCACTCCTTGGTTTGTTGTCTTAGTCTTAAATTGAGATTAGAATAATTATCAGCATTTTCTGATAAAGTAGGAAAAACTGTCTACCTTTTAATTTCCCATGTTATGGGACATATGACAGGATGCTTGAAAAATAAGAACCCAGTCTGTAGTGAGTGGTGATAGAAAAAAATGGTTTTGTGAAATACAGTGATTTGCTGTGAGCTTGACTTACTAGTTTTGTGAATGTGTCGTTCTGTGCATGTATGTTCAGAACTCAGTTCCATTGTGTAACATCAGTTTTACTCCATAGAGAAACTTATACAGAATTTCAAAAACTGTAGGGATTTCCTGATCTGGAACATTCCATGATGTGAGCCCTCATCTCACAGCAGGGCTGTTGCTTTGTGTTGTGCTAGCACACAGTGTCAGATAATTCATCATGGTTATTACAGGTAGCACCCATCTTCACAGAGAAAAGAATGTGCAACCTAATTATATTCCATATTAAAAGATAACAATTTACCTTTTCAAAATCTAAGCTTCTCAAGGCAAGGGACAATATTTTAAGAAAAGATACTTATAAAAATTGGTGATACAGTGAGTATAACAATGCTACTGTTAATAATAAATTCAATAGTTGCTGCCAAATATTTGAAAAATATTTATGTATGTCAAGTAGATGTATGTCTGTGCATGGTCCTTTACTTAAACTTTAAACAGGCACTCCCATGTTATATTGTCCCTTCTACTACTAAAGGGACATTGATCACCAGATGCCTGTGGGAAGCATTACAGAAGACAAATGGAATCAGGCAAAGATAAGCACCAGTTTGCCTTTTTTCAAAGCACCCATTGCATTTTATAAACAATGTCAGTTGCTTGTATTAATCCATTAATAAGGATGATATAATTTTTAAAAAATCAACTCTCAAGTATATACCCAATTTTATTTATTATTGGTATACTTTCTCTTTCAAGGTAGAATATGTATCAGGAAAAGTTTTCTTCAATACCAATGTTGAATTGAGTATGTTGAAGCAACTAAAGTCAGCTGAAAGATTATTTTTGCTGCTGAAGAAATGTCCTCCACTTTCCTTCTGTGGGAATAAAGGTAATGGTTTACTGTTGTGTTCCTCTCTTTGTTAAAAGAATGCAGTAATTTTCAGTTGGGTGCTTTGTTACCAAATCACTTTTCAAGTATGAAGTTTGCTTAGTGCTTTGCAGGCAAAATAATAATGCCTAGGCTTTATTTATCAAGTAGGTGGTTATGAAATTAAAATGTTGCTTGGGATTCCTTGGAAGTAAGATATGGTACTCTTTTGGATTTGTGAGCTCCAGTACAAAATCCACATCTTGCTGATGTAGTTGCTTTCTGAGGATTTTGAAGAGCAATTATCTGAAGTTTTGGGAAGAAGAGAACGGAGACATTCTATTTTCTTCTAAACAGATTAACACCAATTTCTTTCCACTTTAGTGCCCACTAGCATTTTAGAATTAAGTGATAATTCTAATTCAGTGGGGACTTATTCCCATTTAATTTGCTCTGGATTGTAGTTTAAAGTTGCTTGAAAGCTTTTGCTACACAGGTTTTTAAAAAAAAAATAAGGAAGCATACAGGCATCCATCTCTGTGCTTTTATCAGTTTTAAGTTAAGCTCTAGACATGCTGGTGGATTTACCAAGTCTGCAAAGGAAGAAGCTGCTTGTTACATAACTGGAGGATTGACTATATGGAAATGAAGTATGGAAGTTGAGAGAAAATCTTGCCTTTTGATTTTCAGATGTTAAGTCATATGATAAAAAGTATGGACTAATGATTTGATATTAATATTAGTAAAATAAATTGTGCTTTTATTTCAGGAAGAATAATCCAGGATGTTCAAAAACTTGTAAATGAGAATCCCAGGTGTTGGCTGGATACAGTTGCTCTCTGGAGAAGTCTTTATGATCAGGAGGCAAAGCAACTATACTTGTGTCAAGAATACCCAGATTCCAAAAAACAGAAGTTGGAAGAGGAAAAAAATATTGAAAATGAAAAGCAAAAGAGACAAATAATATTAGAGACAGTCACTATTAAAAATCAAATAGAAGACCAGCAAAAATGTGAATCACCAGATGTTTGTAAAGACATTTTCTTGCCTCAAGGCAGACTTTTTCTAGAAAAGACTCCTGAACTTATTCAAGACAAAACTATTGCTTGCAACACGTATTTAAGTTTCAGAGTATCATGTCGTTGTAGTGGAGTACTTGCAAAATTATTTACTGCACAGGTACATAAAAAACTACTCATCTGAAAAATCAGGAGCTACTAAGCACATGAAAACTGAAGTGTAATGTCTACTGAACAAATGCATCTATTGAGAATCTAAACAAAATCAGAGTTCTATAGACCATGAAGTATCCATGATATATTGTGTTTTCCAGATTTTTTCTTTTTAAACATGCTAATTCGCAATGTTAATTTCCTCCCTGCAGTTATGTCTGTGAATAGTCTTGCAGTTACTACTGCGTTTGGGAGTGCCAGGTTATATTCAGCTGCACAATGGAAATGGCCACTCATGCAACTCATTATACATAAAGCTTGCTTTATGGGGTTTTTCTCCATATTCTATTGCATGGGAAAATACATTATTACATTCAAAATAACATACTTTTTTTAAAAAAAGAATCACCTCTGCTGACTGATTAATCAGGGCATTTCTGGTCTATTAAATTTTTAAAAACCAATTAAGCATTGCAGATAAGAAAAAATGTGATGGGCCTGTTGATGAAAACATGCAGTGGGGCAAAAAAGTATTTAGTCAGCCACCAATTGTGCAAGTTCTCCCACTTAAAAAGATGA